TTTTCCTTTGATTTCTGATGAGACCACAACACGTATCCTTCCGACCAACCTTCCTTTCGAAATGGAGTGTCACTCACCATGATAAGGTAAGGATCCTTCTAAGAAAGTTTTGGACTCTGATAGAATCTAAGCGATGAAGCTTGCACATTGCCCTTAGCCTTGGATCAATACCTCTTTCACAGTTACTGGGATTTGGTGGTCACTGGTGATTGCTTACACGTACCAACAGGTTTAAATTGCCAAGTATGCAATTGTGACATTGACAATGTGATACTATGTGATACGATATTTGAGCTCCACAGGACAGAATGAGATATACCATAACTGTTTCCCAGACAATTGACTAAAGTTTCTACTTAACTTGTCTCTTTTGACAATATGTAATATGTTGTTAAGAGAGGCAAGTCATACTGAAGATGACGACCAGGATGCCTGTGCAATTTTGGGTAATGTACCAAGTTTAAGATCTGACTCTGGAAATAAAAATGCATACTATGGACTCAGAATTATGTATGCTCTTCTAGTTTTTACTGCTAAAGGATCAAGTTGCGGAAACTAGGTCAAGAAAATAATATACAATGAATAGAGACCACAACTGCATAAAGGGCTTCACCATCTTGGTCTTAATATCTTTGATCACCTCCTTATCGTATTCTAACCTTCTCCGAATTATATCGCCAAACTTAACAAACCTTTTCTACGCATTATACCGGATCAGCTTTGCTACAAAAAGCTTAACCAAAAAATCTTCGAACTCACACCTCCTTCGAAGCATCAAATCGTAGAATTTTTCTTAAAGGTTAAATTGTTAGAGTCAGAAGGCATTAGTTCTTTTAGCATTCTTATGTAAACATTCTGGTTCTGATCCTCATACTGAATGTATACTGACTAATTTAAGGATCAAAAAAATCCCTGTCGAAATCTAATAATTCCTTGAAATCTTTAAGGGTCCAAACTCGGGAAGAAGCAGCTAAGACCGTGGATGATCTGATGGAGATTATCATTAAATAAATACGTTCTCTAACTGCAATCCAAGGCAACCTCATATTCTGATTTGATAAAAACATGGAGAAAATGCTATAACTACTATAAGAAATGCATTTAAAATTACAGGAGACTCCTATACCATCGAAACCTAAAGCACGCCAGAGCAACGTTGTTCTACCCCGAAAAGCTGGTGCAAAAAGCATTAACTATTCAGATTTCAAGTGCGTGATTGTGTTAACGCATGCTCAAGATGACCAAAAAATTATCAAAATCCATCATGATCAGAAAACAAAGAGCCTAATATTTTTTGGTGACAACCTATTCGGGCACAGTACCCAAGGATCGCCTTCTTTTTCTACGGCATAAGGGTAAATATTAAATATCTTATTGTGGCGGGCGCCCAAGCTAGTTTAATTCCTCCCATAGTGATTGACACAAAACGCCAAGATCCTCTTGCCTCTTCAACCGCCTCAAATAAGACAGAAATTAAAACCTTTGGCATTAAAAGAATGTACATCGATTTTGTATGTAAAAGTTTACTTGAGTGGGCTCTCTATCCTTTCGTTAAACTTGGAATTGAGTTTATCAGGGGACATCGATTTTGCGTTGATCCAGTTAATGACAAACTCTTGGATACATTGTTCACTCATTGAACCTATATTAAACGAGACTTTTTGTAAAATTCCCGCCAAGTTTTTAAAACAGAAAATTTAACCTAGGATGAATGGCTCAGCAATTTTTTCTTCATAACCAAATCTGCTCCAGATCTCTGTAAATCAAAATCACCTAGACAAGACAGCTGTCCTCACACATTTTGGTCTGTTCCAATTTAAAATGATGCTTTCTATAGTAAGAAATGCTACATAAATGTTTCACAGACTAATAGACAGGATTACATGGTGTCTAGAAGGAGTCATAATCAACAATGACTATATACTAGTTGCCAACGGTGACAAGGGACAACACACGCAACATTTGGTCACATTGCTTAAAAAGATATCTCACAACCATCTAGTGACCTCCCCTGAGAAAAGCGCTTCTAGTATCGATTCCTTCAGTTTCCTTGGACATCGTATTGCTGCTCACTGCATGGTGCTAAGTCAAGAGAGGGTTCTAAACACCAAAGATGTTCCCTTTCCACACACCGTTAAGGCTTTGAGAAATTTCCTCGGCATAGTAAATTTGTGCATTCGCATCAGGCACGTTGAATCTGTTAGAGATGTACCTAAAAGCTCAAAAAAGTATATCTCCCTATATCGAGATGCGAAGCGAGCTTTCGAACATATTAAGTAAGCCTTCCCCTAAGTGACATTGCTGGCA